CTTTGTAACAAATATGCATAATTGAGCAAAACAAATTCCCACATTGGCCATGTGCTCTTTCTACATATATATATATATATATATATATATATATATATATATACATATATGTGTGTATACATACACACATGTAAATATGTATGTGTATATGTCTGTCTTTGCATCTTGAGTTCATCACCTCTCTATCAAGAGGTAAGTGGTATGTATCACCAATCCCCCTGGAATCATCGTTGGTCATTGCATCGACCAGAGTTCTTAAGTTTTTATAAGTGTATAATGGCTCTTCTGGTTCTACTTACTTCACTCTGCATCAGTTCATACAAGTCTTCCCATATTTCTCTGAAACTGCTTTTCATAATTTCTTACGATAGTATTCCATTACATTTATATACCATAATAAACTGAGTGAATTCTAAAGAGCTTGTGGTGCTAGGAGCTACTTTACTATAGGATAATGAGTCCTTGGCTACAGGTAGGGCATTAAATTACAAGATGTCTTAATCTGTGGTGTCAGATTAAGAGTTTGAGTAGTTTAAAAGGAGAATTTTTCAGGGACCACCCTGCAATACAAGACAGCAACCACCAGGTGGTAGCAGTAGAAAAGTGTCTCTAAAGGTAAAAGACTATTTCTTCCCTCCCTCTGCCCAAGACCCTGATACAACTCTGTTACTGATATGATACTCATAAGGAGAACAATTAGAAAGGACAGTTCTGACCTTTGCCACAATGTTGTCCTGAGGACCATGTCTCAAAGAAGATCATATGTACAGTGGAAAAAACACTGGTTCTGGACTCAGAGGACCTACATGGGCTAGCTTGTCTTTCAGGTTCCCTCTAGCTCTCATTCTGTGAAATGGACTCTCTGAAAATATGTTATTATTAGTGGTTGAGCTCCTGACCAGAGCCATAGTAAATTAATTGGATTTAAAATTATAACATATAGTATAAAGATTACCTAGTCCAGCTCCTCTATTTTACAGAGAAAGAAATTGAGGCCCAGACAGAGAGAGAGGAAGGGACTTTCTCAAGGTCACACAGGTAGCAAGTAACAGAGCAAGGATTTGAAACCCCTCTTGGCTGCAACTCTGATATCCTTTCTGCTTCATATCAAAGAATTGTAGATAGGACCCAAAATGTCATAAAAGCAAAGGTACATCTATTACAAATATCTACAATCACTAAAAATGGAAAAATGATGTTCTCAGTCCTATAAAGTGGAAGTAAATTTAAGGTACACATTGCAGTGTGGTCAGGGTCAGAAGAGCTGGGTTCAAATTCTGACTCTGTTACTTACTATCTAACCTCAGGCAAGTCACATAATCTCAGGACTAGTTTATTCCTCAGTAAAATGAGTAAGTTGGACTAGATGATACCCAATGTCTTTCAACTTTAAACCTATAATCTTATTATACAGGAGGCTCCAAAATGCTATGAAATATACTTTTTTTCAGCTTGTAATTTTATTCATGTGGGGAACTTCCCTATGTGAAAACTCCTTTTGTTAATGCAAATTAACATCCAGTCAGCAATTTATAGCCTTAGGAAGTTGTTTGGGGGTTGAATGGTTGAATAATTTAATAATAACAATAGCTAACATTTATATAACACTGTGTGCCAGGCATTGTGCTGAGTACTTTACAATTATTGTCTCTTTTGGTTCTCACAATAATCCTGGAAGGGAAGTGCTATTATACCCCCATTTTACAAATGGGGAAACTGAGGCAAATGGTAGTTAAATGACTTCCCCAGGGTTACACAGCTAGCAAGTATCTGAGACTGGATTTGAACTCAGTCTGGCACTCTACCACTGTGCCACCTAGCTACCCCTTGATCACAAGTCTATCGATGGGCTCATCTAGGTATGTCACATGAAGATTATTTGAAGGAAGGGGAGCGAGCATGTTGAGGGTAGACCAGTTTAAGAAAAGGCTTAAGGAAGACAGAATAATTGTTTTCAAATATATGAAAGTAAACGAAGAAACACAGATGATGGATAACCACATGAAAAAGTGTTTTAAAAACCATCTCTCAATAATCAGAGAAATGCTAATTAAAAAAACAAGTAAACCTCAGATGTGCTGGCAAAGAGATTTGGAAATGATAAATGCAGTATTAGTGCAGGTGTGGAAAACAAGCACATTATCAGTTTTTTTGGGAGGAAGCATTATGGAATTATACAATAAGATCTATATAATGTTCCCACTACAAATCCTACTGCTAGGACTATGTATATTACTGGTGAAAAAAAAAAGAACCACTTATTCTTTTTGTAAGGGTTAAAAACTGCTGTGAATAATTTGTGTACAATGATCAAGGAACAACTTCATTCATTGTGGTATATAAATATAATGAAATACTATTGCACCGTGAGAAATGACACAATGAAGACCACAGAGAAACACAGAAGACATAAGTGAGAGAGAGCAAAGGAAACCCAACCTAAAGAACACTGTTCAGCTGTGGTTCTACAAGGGGTCTGTGACTTCTGGGTGCAAACACTGGACCTCTAAGGTTTCTAAGGAAAGCAGGCACTGGGGTGGCATTGCTCATACATGAAGGTCCAGGCCTTGGGGGAAAGCTTTCCTGGTGCTACTGTGAGAGTATTTGTATGAAATGTCTCTTGCCTGTGAAGATGTGTCTTTTGTATGTGTTATGGTCCTTGCCACCAGTTATCCCTTCCCAGCTTTTCAGTGAATGTAGTAGTGAACCCTAGAATGATATATGTGCTCCTTGCAGTGTGGCACAGTGGAAAGGATCTGGATGTCTAGTCAGAGAATATGGGTCAGAATCACAAGTTAAAAGGCTCCTCTTTGGGCCTTATCTGTGAGATAGGGTTAAGTAAGTTCTAAGGTCCTTTCCCACTCTAAGTCAGTATTGGCCTTCTGACTTTGGGCAAGTCACAACCTTTCTGGACCTGTTTTCTCATCTGCAAAATGTGGGGGGTTGGACTAAGTGACCTTAATGGTCTCTTCTAGATCTAAATCTGTGATACTGATTCTTCCTGGGAACAATAATGGCCTATGCCTTCACAAGATTTCACAGAATCTATTATTGGAAGTTGGAGATTTTCTATTCCAACTATCCAGCCAATATAAGGGAAACTCCTCTCCCACCAAACTCTAAATATTTGAATGTTGTTATGGGAAAGACTTATTAGACTTGTTCTGCTTGGCCCTGTTTCCTGTTAGAGAGAGGCGGATTTTGGATCAATACAGGGGTTTGCTAACAATCAGAGCAGTGGGGACATGAAGTCTAAGTTCCTGGTCACTGGAGGTCATCATCTGAGGAATGCCGAATGACAACCAGTTTGGTGTATTGTGGAGAGGATTCATGTTTCAGGTGTAGGTTGAATCTAATGAAGTCTGTTGTTCTGTCCAACATGGTTTGTGCTATTTGATTCTGTGGTAGGACTGATCAAGGTTAAGTGGCGATGATCAGGGAGCCTTTAACAAAATGTTTTAAGTGCTGTTTTGCCTCCATTTCTATCATAGTGGAGGAAAATGAAAAATTCAAATAGATTACAAAATAATATCTAAGTGATTAGAGGGGAGCAAAGTTTGATGTGATGTGTGGGGGTGCGGGGAGGGGGTCATTACCAAGTAGAGAGGTCATGGAATGTTTCATGCCTTGAGGTGGCATTTAAACTGACATTTAAAGGATGGGTAGGATTTCAACAGGACGTGTGGGGAGTGGGAGAACATTCCAGGCATAGAGAACAGCATGAACAAAAGCCTACAGGCAGAAATGTCTTTAGTCTCATTTGACTAGTGTGTAGAATACATGAAAAGGCATAGCATGAAATAAGGCTGGAAAAGTAGGGTGGCACCAGATTGTGGAGGGCTCTGAATGCCAGGCAAAGGAATCTGAACTTTCTTCAGTAGGCCATGGTCCGCCATTGAAAGGTTTTGAGCAGGTGAGTAAAATGACTAGTTCTATGTGTAAGGAAAATTAATTTGTGTGTCTGAAGGATGGATCTGAATTGAGGAGAGTGGAGGCAGGAACCAATGAGTAGAAGGTAGAAGGTAGGCAAATTCTGGCTCAACATGAGGAAGAACTCAATTGGAGCTGTCCAAAAAATGACCACTAGAACTTTCTTTTTATACATGGCAACTTCATGATCCCCAGCAAGATCCTGTATTCCTGGGCCTGAGGTACAGAATGCTGTAATTTTCTTTCCGGCACCAGGTGATTGGTCCCAACTGTGAAACATAGGGAGGATTCAACCTGGAAATGGCTCGTGTTCCTCCATGGGTAATCCCTCAAGAAGGCAGGCATCTAATGGCATTTTTTTTTCCTCTCAGAGACCAAAAGTAATGTACCTCTTCCTAAAGAAAAGAAGTCCTTAAAAATGCCTTCTATGGAAGAGGTTCCACAAGTTTCTTTTTATACGTTTCCTCCCCTCCAGTTAAAAAATTTCCCAGTGACCCTAGTTTGTGGAAGTTGGGTCCTGAACAGTCCTCTGGTATAGAAGAGTAGGAATAAGGCCTAGGTTTTAAAATGCTGGTTAATTTACTCTTTGTGGGACCTTGGGAAAATTAACCTTTTTGGACCTAAGTTTACTTATCTGTAAGATGAAAGTATTGCATGACATGATCTCTAAAGTGTCTTCCAGCTCTAAATGCCATGATTCAATGTAATGGGCTATTTTGGTAATAAGTTCCCCAGCACTGAAGTTTTCAAATGCAGGCTGGCTGATCATCTGTCAGATATCATTTACAGAAGGCATTTATGCTTTAATGAAGGGGCTGGACTACGTTATCTCTGAGGCCCCTTCCAACTTTAGGAGTCTACTGTGATCTATTAGGGTAGCAGTAGTTTTAAGTGGTTGATAATGAGCTTTTGTATACCTGGTAGTAGTGATAAAGGGGAATGAGGACAGATGTGAAATATTTCAGAGGTAGAAGTGACAGGACTTGAATTGTGGGAGGTGAAACAGGAGGAAAAGACAAATATTAAAGTTTTGAACATGAGAGACTGGGTCAATGACACAGATAGTGAAGTCCAATAGAAAAAAAGTTTTCTCTTTAAAGACAGTTTAATTGGGTAAGATGATGAACAAGCTTGACCCTGAAGAAATGCACCTAACTCACTTGTCTGCAGAAATGGAACATATATTGTTGGATCTTGATCGATGTGCTGCTTAGTTTTTCACAATTGCTTCCTCCTCCACCTTCTTTTTCTTCTTTTCCTTTCTCTTTAATTCTTCGTTTTAGGGATGGATCCCTGGGTAGCAGATGGGGAGGGATGGAAAATCAAAGTGACATAAAAATAATTTTATGCAAAATAAAGATAAGTACAATTTTTGATATACTGGGTTTGAGGTATTGGTGGTACATCCAAGGTGAAATTTTATAGGCTGTTGTAGATATGGATCTGGAACCCCGGGGAAAAAACACAAGGCTAGATATAGAGATTTGTGATTCTTCTTCCTTGAAATTACAAGAATGAATAAAATTGTCAAGGTTGAATGTAGAAGGAAGACTGGCAGCGACAGAATTTTGAAAAACACTTACTTTAAGGAGTTAGGAGGAGCTATTGGAGACAGAGAGTGGTGGGAGTGAAGAAAACCAGAAGTCAGGGGAGGAAGGAGTTTCCAGAAGGAAAGGAGTGGTCAACAGTGTGGAATTTGGTAGAAGCCGAGGAGACTGAGGACTTTTACAGAGGATATTTATGCAATTCAAATAGCTGAAATATACATTTGGCCAACAAGGCAATTACTGGTGACCCCTGAGAAAGAAATTTCGATGGAGCGTTGAGGATGAAAGCCATACTGCAAAAGGTTGTGGAGAGTGGGTAGAAGGATGGGTATAGAAAATTTTTCTTTTTCGACTTTGGTAGTAAAGGGGGAGACGGAATGAATAGTAGTTGTTGAAGAATGCTAAATTGACACGAAAGGTTAAAGGTAAGGAGGATTTTTCTTTTTTTTTTTTTAAGACTGGGAATACCTGCAATTACTGGTAGACAGGAAACATGAAAGAGAAAGAATAATTATTGAAACAGGGCCTTGGAGAAAGGCAGAAGGCAATGGGATTGTGGATACAAATTGAAGGATTTTACCACTGGCAATGTTAGGGGCAATTTCATGAAATTAATCACAAGTATTTACATTAAGACATGAGCCTTACATAATCTTGTTCAGATTTTGTGCACAATTTCAATATTTATTTTGAGGTTCGGTTGGCTGGTACCCACTGATGTTGCACTCTAATTCCACCTCATTTAATTGTTCTTCAGGGACAGACACTTGGATGCCTATCATATACAGCACAGGGAACCTATGTCACCCTTCCGTGTTATTTTGACTGATATAAGTAAGTTATCATATCAGTCTCATACTTTCTGTAAATAATGCAGGACTATGGCCTATGTGGCAATCTGAATGCCTACTTAGGAATATGGAATCTACATGGAAATGCCCTGACGTGAACTGGTTTGGAAAATTCTTAAAGTACCCAAAGGCAGGCAAAATGTATACCATGAACCCAAAATGGGGGGGGGGGAATCGTTCATGGCAAGGGAAGGGGAGGTAAAAACCGCCTTCTTTTCTATGAAAAGTTTATTTTTTACTTACTGGAAATTTAAATTTTAGGTGAATTCTTGATTAAATACAACGAACCAAATACCTGGGCTACAGTAATACTGTTAAAATTCTGGGGGGGAAATAACAAAGTTTAAATAAGAAAAGGTCTCTACCTTCCTCTGGTAGGGGGATCCACCACCTCCTCGGATAAGGCGGATACACTAATACACTATAATGTACGATGTGGATTGGGGAGGCGCGAAGTGCCGCAAAAGGAAAGTAGGGGAAGTCGAGGAGGGGAAGATAGATCCTTATTGCCGGAGGGCAGGAGAGAAATAGGCCGGGAGAACCCGGCCGACGCGTTGGGTTTAGGAGTAGGCGGTGTTCAGCAAGTGAACTGATCATTAGGCAAATGGATCATTGTGCTAATCCGCTTTCGGTAAACTTTGGAAACGTCGGTACACTCCCGGCCGCGCACACCCACGCGCTCGCGCATACACACCCACACGTCTAACTTTAACTCTGGGGAGTCGCACATCCCGGATCCCCCGGCCTCGGGTGCCTCGCTTCCCACGCAGAGAAGCGCCCGCGAAAGGGGCGGTGGGGGGCTTGGCGTTCTCACCCTCCCCCCACGCGCCGCCGGGGCGTCTGCCTCGTTGCACCCCACCTGGACCTCCCCGCCACTTCCCAGGTGGACCGTGGGCCACGCTCCTCTTCCTTCGTGCCCTGCCTCCCCCTGGCCTGGGGCAGTAGGGGCGTGGAGCTGCATGTACGCGGTCTCCGGTCCTTCCAGGCTCCCAGAGCTGGACCCAGCCGGCCTCTCACCCCCCTCCCCCGGTTCTGCGTCCTCGAGGAGTCCACTTCCGGCAGCCGGAGGAGAGGACACCTCCTTCCTTCCCTCCCTCCCCACGGGCCGCGGGGTGCGGGCAGCCGGCCGGCCTCGGCTGGCCTGGGCCTCACACAAGGACAATGAACCCCGCGGGAGAGGGAGAGGGCGAGGGCGCCTGCGTGACCGGAAGTGACCCCCCCCCTGCCCAACTCGTATCCGAGGGGCGGGGGAGCCCAAAGGGAGGAGCGGCGTGGGGGGCACTGGAGAGAGGCCCGGCGGCCAACGGCGCAGGCGCCCCCTCTCGGTCCCCCGCCCCGTTCCCCGCTCCCCGCTCCCCCGCCCTTCCCAGGGTGAGGAGAGGGGAGGAGCCGGGATCCGAGGCGGGCACTTCCGGTGCCCACGCGCCGCGCAGCTCCCGCGGCCGTCACTTTGTGTCTGAGCCCGGGCCCCCCCAGGAGCGCCGAGTCTGGGCCCCGGGCCCCGGGCCGTGCCTCCCCTCCCTCCCACTCCCCTCATCCCGTCCCCAGCCCAGGCCTCCCCGGCCCGCTCGGCCCCAGGTCCCAGGAGTTCGGGGCTTTCCAGTACCAGCTCTCTCGGAGCCCCAGCCCAGCTCTCCGGGCCCGGACCCAGGAATCCTCGTCTCCCCGCCGGACTGGGCGGCCGCCGTCAACCCCAGAGTCCGTCCGGCCGGCCTGAGGGAGGGCACACAGCCAGGCCCGGGACCCAGGGGGTCGGGGTCGCCCAGCCCCGAGCCCCGGGGTGAGTCCGGCGGGGGCCGCCTGGGTCGGGCCGCGGCGGGGCGGGGCTCTCGGAGGGGAATCCTCCTCCTCCCGCGCACCTCGGGTGTCCCCAGGGGGACTGAACTCCGGCCCGGGGAGGGGGAGTGGGAGCGGGGAGGCCCCCGGGGAGGCGCCTTAGCTTCTTTCCCTTTTCTTCCCTTCCCTTTCCTGGTTGGGGGCCAGCCGGGTAGGGTTTGGGGGAGAGGCCTAGAGGCCAGGCGAAGGGGGAGCGTGAGTGTGTGTGTTGTGGGGGGGCTCGGGATGGAGGGGAGGTCGGGGAAGGGGGAAGGGGCGTGGGCCACATCCGATCCTTCCTTGGGGTCAAGAGGCAAGCGGGGAGTGGGGGGGGTCCGGGGGGGCCGGGGCCAGGCCGAGCAGGGCCCTGGCGAAGAAAGTGCAGGTGCTGGCGGCCCCCGGAGCGCTCGTGGGTTTCGTGTGGAGTCGGCTCCTTCCTTCCCCGGGGCTTCCGACGACCTGAGCTCTTGGGCAGGGGTCCTAGCGCTCCGTGGCCGTAACCAGAGCCGGCAAAGACACAGTGGGCCCTCTCATTTCGGGAGAGCTTTTTCCTTAGTCTCTGTAGGCCCTTTGTGAATCTGTAGGCCAGCTGCCTGCTAGGGCTCCCTTTGGTGGAGTGGGAGGAACACTACTAGCTTGGGAATCCGGAGACAGGGGTTTTTAACCTTTTAACCAGGGTCTTTTTAACCTTTATCTGGACCTCAAGTTTCTTAGATCAGTGAAAGGGTACTACTCATCGGAGATAAGGTTACTAGCCCTGCCTACCTCACAGGGTTGTTGTGAGGATCAAATGAGAAAATGAATTTGGAAAACACTTTGGATAGTTAAAAGCCCAATATAAATACAAAGGTTGATAGTTCTAAGAGGATTAGGCCGATTATGCTAACTGTTAAACCAAACTTGTGGAAGTGAACGTAAAACCCCAGTAGGAGGGAATAGAACATACCGCATACCCTAAAGCTAGGAGATAGGAAGTGCTTAAGGGCCAGAAAACTGCTTAATTCTGGTTTGGTACCAGAGAGTCCAAGTGGTTAGAGAGCTGGCTTCCAAATGAAGAAGACCTGAGGTGTAAGTCCATACCCTGACACATACTGGCCGTGTGACCTTGGACACCTCTCAATGCTCCACACAGCCCTCTACCACTGTTAAGTTGCAAGAGTCGATGCCACCCTAAACTTGTAGAGGGAGTCTTCTCACCTAGGAGTTCCATATGCAGATGAAATCATAGGTCCATTCCTTATCCCTTTCTTGTTAAACAGGGTATAAAACCCAGTGGGGTAGAGAGAAGAGAATAGGATTAATGGAATGAGAGGAGAATGAACTAAGTAAAACTAGGTTTAAGGTCTTTTTCAGTTGGTGACTGAGGCAAATATGACCACAACTTGATAGCTATATCCCCTACAGAGCCTATTTATTTTTATTTTTTCTTTTTTTGCTTTTGTTAGGCAATGGGGTTAAGTGACTTGCCCAGGGTCACACAGCTAGTTAAATATTATGTGTCTGAGGCCAGCTTTGAACGGAGGTCCTCCTGACTCCAGGGCTGGTGCTCTATCCACTGCGCCACTTAGCTGCACTCCTACGGAGCCTATTTAAATGAACGAAATTGGGAAGGTAGATCATCTGGACTCTGTGCTTTTGAGGTTCAGTAGTTAAATTTTGGTCAAAATCCATACTTAACGATTTTCTCAGTCCACAAATGTTTTGCTTTAGGAGTGACTTGGGGAGAGACTTTGGTGTGGTGAAAAGTGCTGTGGAGTTAGGGTTGAAGTGCCTGAGTTTGAATCCTAGCATTACAGCTTATTAACCACAGACAGTCATTTAACCTCTCTGGGCCTTAGTTTCCTTTTCTGTAGAATGAAGAGGTTAGACTAGATCTCTCTTACAATTTGAAAAAACAAAGAAACAAACTGATGTTTGGGGAGGTGAGAGCTGCTGCACGAGCTCTGTAATGTTATTAGGGTATGTGCCAATGTTTGAGGGTGGTGTCAGGGGCAGTACCCAGTAAGTGCTATTGGTAGGATCCGCTAGGGCAGTTCTTAGGTTTTTATATTCCAGTAGAGAAGAAAGTATTGAAGAATGAGGAGTTGTATTTGTTGCATGTGATCTCTGGATGCCAGCCTACTGTGGGTGCTTAAAGAATGCAATTTATAGGGAAGGATAAATACTTGCTTGTGGCTAAAGACAAAGAGGTAAATCAAGGTACCAACATTGTCTTTAGGGTAGATTTAAAGGAAGTGTGGGGGGGAATGATAGCAGCTTGGGTTCAGATGGAAACTGAGGGCAGAAAGAGTCAAAGGTGTGAGGACTAGTGAAAACTGGAGACCTCTGGGTTTACCCATTTTCTGGGTTATGTTGTGTTAAGGTGAGGTTTGGGTGGAAAGATGGATCTTTGAGACTGGGAAATTTGTACCCTTTTAAGGAGATGAACAAGAAAGGCCTGCAGTTAAGAAAAGAAGCGAGAACTCCTGAACTGTTTTATTTTTAGAGGGCTTGATGTTCAATTCAGTTTATTTACTGAGCACATAACGTACCCATCACTGTACAGGATACAAGAGAAGTATATGGTACCTGCCCTCAAGGACTTTACTGTCTAGATGGGCAAACTTAAACAGATGAAACAAGGTAGAGTATAATTAAATGTCAAAGGTATTTTTTTCAGACAATAAGTCTTTGAGAAGTCAGGAAGAGGAATGGTTGGGTTGTTAGGGAAGATTATGTATTTGACCTTAGGCAAGTTATTTAGCCCTTTCAGTCTTCACTTTCCTTATCTGTAAAATAATGGAATTAGATGGAATAATTTCTAAGGTTCATTTTGTTTCTAAATCCTATAGTTCTAGGACTTCTAGGAAGAAATAGGACGTGATCTGGGCTTCCACTGGGTGGAGAAGTCACTAATGACCTCCAGATATCCTGTTATTTAGCTCCAGAGAAGTTAATTAGGGGATGGAGTTTTTTGGTCCAGAGGGCTATTCTGTTAAGGCAGAAGGGAAAGGCCAACTGGCAGTAACAATTAAATAAAAACTGAATAGAATCAGAATGTTTGTTTTCAGTCAGAAGGTTCTCTTCATCCGTGTAACACTACACTCCCATTCAGCCTTGGAAGACTGTCTGGATTATTAGACATTCTCCAAAGAAGTTTTAAAACAGTGCTTCTCAGACTTTTTATGATACCCCATTCTGACCCTGAGCTCCCCAAACTCTTTTATACACACGCCAACAGAACCTGGAGCATTGAGACTAAGTGACTTTGACTCCCTATTGGTATTACAGTGAGAAATGAGAAAAGTTGATCTAAGGTGATGAGAGCCAGGGAGAAACTTGAAATGTGCAACTTGCATTTAATAATCAAGGAGCAAGGAAGCCAGCAAAGTGATTTGGAGAGAGGAAGGGTGTACTCCAGGTTACAGATAAGAGTAGAATGTCCCTTGGATTGAAAAAGGAAAAAGTTAAAGAGTAGAGAAGAAAAAGGGTGGGCAAGAGCTGAGGTGGGAGATCACTAGAAAGGGGAAAAGGTAGGGTCTGTAGTTGTTACAGAGAGAAAAAAAAATAGAATTTTATGAATATAGATATGAAATTTCTTTCCTAATCTAGTCTTTGTTCTCTTTATACCCCTTCTTGGCTTATACTTCTTGGTTTCTAGGGCTTTGGATCTTCATAGGATTTCCTGGGTCCCATTGTTCTGACCTACTTAACTTGTTTCCTTGTTTCACTTCCTAGCGTCTTGGACATTTTCTTTCTTCTAGGCTACCTTGTCTGATCTCCTTTAGTTTCTGACATTGAGATAAATGTCTTGGTGCCCTAGTTAACTTTGTAACCTTGTACCTCCTCCCTGGAAGTGGTAGGTCTATATTAAGGTGAACTCTAGTTTTTAGGATTCCTTTCGACAGGCCAGGATGATAGCTTTGGGGTTGACCCAAAGGTTAGCTCTGTAATGGATGTGAAATCTAGCCTGGAATATTTTCTTACATCTGTCTTGCCAATCTGAATATTAAGATTTGGAGCCTTTCCATTTCAAAACTCCCATATTCTCCTTTGATGTTGTTTCTTCCCAGCCACCCTGACTTATTCGGTGGAATTCTGAAGTAGCTACTTAGTGTAGAGTGGAGGCCAAGGCAGGGAATCAGCTCTGTTTGACTTGGCTTGGTGTCCGGTTTCAGCTGGATCTCCCAGCCTGAGGCCCAGGTGAGAAAAGCCCTCCTTTAGGCATGGAGTGGGTGGAGATTGGGTAATCTTTACTGAGAGTTCAAAATGTCCTAGGCTCTGTACAGAAAATATACTTGACAAGACTCTGCCCTCTGGGAGATGACCAAGGCAACATGCCACACACATGTTATCACACTGTAGGTACTGAATAGGGCCAACAGACCCAAGGGGACAGGTTGTACCTAAAGCCTAGAGGAAGAGGAGAAGATTAGAAAGTAGTTTTTTTTAAAAAACGTCTCTGGGTGCTATAGGGAAGTGAGATTAAAAATCTGAACCAGAACAGAACATTTCAACAAATTAAACTCAACAAACATTTATTGCATGGTTACTTTGTGCCCAGGTACTGTGCTAGGTGCTTAACTATCAACCAAAAAGGAGGATCAGGAGAGAGGAATTTAATCCTTGAGGGTGTAATTGATCAGTCTTTGTACATAGGAATAAAGGGACGCTAGATTCTTTTATCCTTTTTGGATTTTTTGTCTTAATGGCGTTTTCTTTCAGAGAACTAGGCTGATTGGAATTTAAGTGCTTTGTTTCTTTGGGTGAAGGGGTTATGTTGGGGGTTTCCTAATTGTCCCAAGGGTGGTGGCCCAGAGAAGGGACCTACACTTAGGCATAAAACTGGGTTCATCAAGCATCCAAAGAAGTATGTGTTGCATACAGAATGTCCTGATTGGATAACCTGTTTCTTCTAGGCAGAGGCATTGAAGGAGAAACAAGATGGCAGCCCTACATACATCACCAGACTCCCCAACCTCCCAGCTGGAGAGAATGGAAGTTAGACCAGAGTGTGAAGTTGATCATGAGGAAAGGGAGGGGAGCCCAGATCTGGTTGAGGACAGCCCAGAGGAGATTGAGGGGAGTCCAGAACCAATGGAAGAGAGCCCAGATGAGGGTGAGGGGAGCCCAGAGCCAATTGAGGGCAGCCCAGAAGAGGATGAGGGCAGCCCAGAGGAGGATGAAGGCAGCCCAGAGGAGGATGAAGGCAGCCCAGAGGAGGATGAAGGCAGCCCAGAGGAGGATGAACGAAACTCAGAGCTGATTGATGGAAGCCCAGAAGCGATTGATGACCTACCAGAGCCTATTGATGGCATCTCAGAGCCCATCCTGGGCAGCCCAGAGCCCATGATGGGTAGCCCAGGGCCTATCGATGACATCCCAGAGCCCATTGATGGCATCTCAGAGCCCATCATGGGCAGCCCAGAGCCTATTGATAGCATCCCAGAGCCCATCATGGGCAGCCCAGAGGTGATTGAGGGCAGCCCAGAGCCTATCATGGGCAGCCCAGAGGTGATCGAGGGCAGCCCAGAGCCTATCATGGGCAGCCCAGAGGTGATCGAGGGCAGCCCAGAGTCCATTGAGGGTAGCCCGGAGCCGATTATGGGCAGCCCAGAGGTGATCGAGGGCAGTCCAGAGCCCATTGAGGGTAGCCCAGATGTGATTGAGGGCAGCCCAGAGCCAGAACCACAGGAACCATTGAACCGTGACTCTAAAATGGAGTCCCCAGTTCTTCAGGAGAAGGGTAAGGAGGGGCCTTTTGTTTGGTTATGATAGGGGGAACCAGATATCTGGAGAGACCAAGGGTATGGGGGGTATGACATTGTCTCTATGGCATAAGCAAGAGACATCAGTCAGAGAAATGATAAACTCTGAACTCTCTAAGAACTGAATAGATAGTAGTTCCCAGTCTGAATTTGGGACTGTAATGATCTTTCTTGGTTTTAGCTTCTTGGAACTGTGGGGCTGGTGGTGGAAGATGAAGGGGGTACCTCTTTTAAAGCATGAGCCTGGAGGAGCTTTTAGGAATGCAACATACTTTCTTTCTCAGCTGTGTCAGTTTCCTGGGTTCCAGCTATTTTTAAGAAAGAGATCCTTGATGATGATGAGACATCGACTGACTTCCTAACTACTGAGTCCCAGGTGAGCTTTTGTTCTCTTTCTATAGAGCTAGGATCTAGTTTTGAGATTTTTCTTTTAGTAGTCATTTAAATCTCTCTGCTCTCATTTTCCTTACCTGTCAAATGGACCTGATATTTAAAACCTATCTCACAGCATTTTTGTGAGGACCAGATGGCATCACAGGACCTCGGTTGGGAGGGAACTGAGGGACCTTCTAGTCCATCTCATATAAGACTTCCAGCATTAGAGAACCTACTGTTTCCCAAGGGAGCCCATTCCTCTTTGGGAAAGCTGGGATCCTCAGGAAGTCTTTCCTTAATACCAAGCTTAAATGTTGCATTTTTTCAGCTACTACCCATTGCTTCTAGTTCTTTCTTCTGTGTTAAATGTTTTTCTGTATGACAGCCCTTGATGTCTGTCCCCCTTAAGCTTTCCTTTCTCTGTGCTTAACACCCTTTAGCTCATTTACCTGATCCTCAAGAACTTGAGGCCTTTTATTGTCTGGGTTGCCCCTCTTTTGGAGACTTTTTTGGAGAGCTTTTTAGTGTCCTAAAATGTAGCATCCAGAGCTGAACAGCATACTTCAGATGTTGTTTGGGTGGGACAGTGAGTACAGCTGGATTATCACCTGCTTAGTTCTGGACCTGATAACTCTCTATGTAGATCATGTTATCTTTCTAGGCTACCATATCACACAGTTGACTTATTTAGACAAATTTCTGGTCTGTGAAGTTGAATTTTTGAACCCAAATGTAAGACTTGACATTTATCCTTATTAAATTGAATCTTAGATTTCTGCCCAGTGTTCTAAGATCATTTCATGAACTTTCCCTGTCCTGACTTTTGCATCCAGTGTGTTGGCTGTCCCTCCTAGCTTTGTGTCAGCTGTCAATTTAATATAAATGCCATCTGAGTCTTGAAGTCATTGAGAAAAATATTTAATGGCACAAGGTGTTTTGTAATCCTCAGAGTATTCCTAAAGTCTGTAGGCAGTTTAAAACATGAACAACTTAACCTCTATAGGAGGTAAAAAACAATCTGTAAAATGCAATAGAAAAGTAATTTATTCATTTCTTATGAAAAAGAAGTGAATTTTATTATTTTGTATTTTTCCAGATAATTTACCCTAGTAGGCTAGATGGCTTCAATAGAAGGGGGAAAAAAACTATATTCCTTAGTTAACTGAATTTAAGTCTGTAACAATATCAAAAAATTTACAATTATGAGGATGTGTTAAAACTAAAGTATGAAAAAACCTTGGTTTTTAGAATGAACTTTGTGATAGAATAATTAATGTGATTAGCGCTGTAACAACAATTTCAGAATTTGTTCATGAAACCAGATGCAATGGGGAGACCGCTGTTCTGGGACCTAATCTGCTAGTGTGAGTGAGGTTGATAGAATAGTTACAGAGTCTGGGCTACATAGAAAATTGTAATGTGCTATGTATATGTAATGATGGTGGACATGTTGAAACAACTATTTTAAGATTAAATGTACTAAATCTTGAATTAATTACTTTGGCATTGTATTTAACAGATTTTTTTTTTTAATCTCCTGTAGAATTTAATTTATTAAGATTTTGAACTGCACATGGACTTTAGGGACATCCTGTTTAAATAACCAGTTATTATTACTTAATACACTTTCTTGGCAATCCCTTTTGTCTAATCTGGGTTAGGAACTATTCTTCTTGGAAGCAGAGCTAAGAGAAAGTTATTTTCTGGAGTGCATTGCTAGTCAGTAGTAAGTTCCCTTGTGGTGATTTATGCCCAGTTTTTTCAAAGGTCGGAGATTAAGCCCACCCCAGGAATTTTGGTTTCCTCAGTACTAATTCAGCTCCAATTATTTCAAGGCTTCAGGGCCCTCTGCTTGCTAAGGTGTGGGAGTTCCTCCTACTGATACAGATTCTAACTCCACTGTTCCTTAATAGACAGTCTTTATGAGTAGTTCTGGCCAAAAAAAAAAATCAAAACCTTATTGCCTGGCAGCCAAACTTCTGGTGATGAGCCTTTCCCAAATTGGCTAGTCTGGTCCTCTAGTACCAGTCCATCATCATACCCGTATCTGGAGGCTTTCTCAATTGGTAGGATTTGCCAGAACTTGTAGTCTGTTGGCCCAGCCTTTCAGAACCCAGAGTTTTGCCTTTCCACCATGATGAAGCCCTGCAGGAAGGTTTTAGTGGAAGCTGCTGAAGTTACCCTACTACATTTGGAGGCTACATTTCCCCCCTGGATTTGGGCTGCTTCTCTTGCTTGAGATAGCCTTCATGTCACCTTTCAAAGTAACAGCTTTTTCCCTGACTCAGCAAACTAGAATTTAGAACTTATACCTGGACTTTTGGTACATCTTACCCTCCTCTTTTGTCCTACCATCTCCCCTAAACTTTTTTACGTATATTATGCTACAATTTAATTAACATCTATGAAGTCATACTGTCTGAAAATTAACTTTTGTGTGACCTGGACTCAAAGAAGGGATTATGTTTTCTCTCTCTCAGTAAAGTTCTCAGTTGCCATTGCTGGCTCATTTCTTCTCTCTTTCTCCTCATTTGAGGCACAATGGGGATATATTTACTACTCTCTTTTTTTCCTTAGGGACTGGTGACATTTGAAGATGTAGCTGTGTATTTCTCCTTGGAGGAGTGGGGAAGGCTAAATGAAGCTCAGAAGGATCTTTACAAGGAAGTCATGCAGGAGAACTATGGGATTCTGGTGTCCCTGGGTAAGTGCTAGTCTTCCCAGCATCTAAGAAGGAGTGAGCAGAGGGATAAATTCATCCAGTTCCCTGGGATTTCCAGGGGTGATATTCTTTCTGAAACAGATGGTCAGTCTTGAGGACTGCTGGTCTCTGACAGGATGGGAAAGGTGGTAGACCCAATTCATATCTCCCAGAACAGAGCAGCACCTCTTCTATAGGGCTCTGGAGTGGGCTTGAGTTAAAAGGTTAGGGTACCCACAGACTAGCACGTACATTGAGGCCTCAAGGCCTGTTTTGATCCAGGAGCCACAGTGTGTATATTAGGTGATATACAACTATCAGTCCCACTCGGGAATCTCTTTGCTGTAGATTTTACTGACCTATCCAGTGGTATGAGGAGTCAATTGGAGGTAGCCAGATGAGAGCACTCAAATAAAACCCACACTAAAACAGTGGGTGTGAGGAAAGTGTGGTTAAGAGAATGGGGGGAAATATTAAGGGAAGATCTCAAAGGAAAATTGAGTGTGAAAGAAACTGTAAACATTGAAGAGAGACTGAACTAAGGGAATAACATTTGCTAGCAGATGACAGCAGTCCCCTCCTTGAAGTGTGGGATAGAGGCTTTTGAGATAGCATCATTACTCACTGATAATGAACAACCCTATTTTTCTGTTCACCCCTTTTGGATAGGTTATCCAATTCCTAAACCTGATGTAATCTCTCGAATGGAGCGTGGGGAAGAATTATGGGTCCCAGACAGTCCTGTTCCTGAGGAAGGAGATATTGTAACTGGTGTCTACACAGGTGAGAAGGATAAGAGGATAAGAGGAAAGCAAAGGCATGAGAATTTCACAAGCGTCCTCCTTTGTACTGTCTTGCCCTCATCCTGGTCCTATAAATAATTACCTTTAAAGCTCACTTTAATTTCCCAGTTTTATGTTGAGGTTGATTGCTGACAGTTCCAAGATGCAGTTGTGAAATGAGGAGTAAAAGCTGCTTAATATGGACTCCTTTTTAAATTGGGAACTTTTCTGTCCCTGTGGCTACTGCAGCTGTCAACATCAGAGCATGACTTTGAAGAACTAATTTTTCTGACTGTGGTGGCACTTTGTACACCTTGGGGTTTGAGATGGGTGTGTTGGGGCAGGGGTTAAATCTGAGAGCTTGGTGGAAGTATTTTCTGGCCAAAGACGTTACTAGGGTAGGAGTCCATGGGTCATGTCAAGCAGCTTGCTGAAATCATAGTGGATGAGTTCAGAGTTTCCCTTTCTGCATCTTAGGAAGCAGCTTTTTCCTCTGTTTGAATGTGCATGTTAAGGGTGGTTTTCTAAGCCATTCACAGTTTTTAAGAACACTCTCTTCTCAAGGGTGGTGCAGGCCTATGCCAGACTTTTCTTTTCCTCTGGTTTCATTTTTTCTTCTTTTGGTGGAGAGCCAGCATGCCACAAAGCTGAAAGGCCTAGTGTGGTTCTACTGGTTCTGTGATTCCATTCTTTGCCTTGTATCTGGGCCCCCTGGACATCATGGTTTTCGATTTATTTTCAAAACTGCCTTCTTTTGTGATTCATGTTGCAGTTATGTAATAAGTGTTAAGGTGTGACATTTAAACCAGGATTAAAGAAATACTCTTGGTAAATACTTATTTTCTTCTGGGGTTCTGTTCCCTTTAATTTGCAAAACTACTTGGGTTTGAAAGAATAGGAAGGAGAATTAGAGGTGGGGAGGGTCTGTGAGGCCAGGAGTTAAGGTACAGTGATTAAGATCAGGGCTGGGACTGGACCTAGCAAAGCATACAGGTTATTGTAGCTTTGTTGTTGTTCCCTGCCACCTCCCACTCCCAAAAAATTACTTGTAAAGTGCTCTTAGATTTTTCAAAGCACTTTCATATAAATTATCTTGTTTTAATTTTATAACAACCAATTATGTAGGAAAGATAGATATTTTCCATGTTTTTATTAATGAAAAAAACAAACCTCAGGTCTAGAGTAGTTGTGATAGATAGGTAAGAACAGTATCTGGACTGGAGTCTAGCTTTCTTATTACCCAGCCCAGCATTCTTCCTATTGCACTTCAAAATGTTGTTCTTATATGTTGATCATTTCTGTTCAGCTGCCCAAATTGGGGACTCAGAAGGATTAAGCACATATGAAATATGTGACAGCCACTTCCAAGAACACAGTTTCAAGCAGTGTTGTCTCAGCGGCCATGTCATAACACTTAAGAATGTGTCCCGAGGGCTGCCTGGGTATATCATGGTGAGCCAGGCTTTTCCTGAGTCCTGGCTTTAGTTGTTGGCCACAAGAGTTCATTCTCTTCACGTACCCATAACTGCAGACATAGCCGTTACAGAAATTGGTGACCTGTTTTCTCATAAACCAGTTGGGATAAGGTCGTGTGCTACTCTGTGACCAAGGACAATTGAATCTGGCTAAACCTCCCTCTTCTTACCTTAGCTGGGCTGTGTTAATCCTCCCCACTGCCTCTGTCATTCACCATCCTCTGACTTGTCATCTTAATCCCAGGGGAAAGTTTGGGGAGACCACAAATCTTTATGCTATAGCACAAAATTAGAAGGGTGTCATGGAATTCAGAATGAAGGCAGCAGTTCTCTTACAGGATTTATTATTCCATCAAAAGCATCCTCTTCTGGACCATGTGTCCCTGGCCAGTCTAGAATCTCACATCCTTTTGTATCAGTTAGTTTTCAGTCCTGGCTTTGAGAAAGGACAGGATTGATTTCCTTCATATTGTAGGGTAGGAAGCGTGAGATATAGAGGTCCAGTGATAGTGAAAAGTGCAACTGCTGTCCTGGGACCATGTGGCTTTGCCTCACCAAGGGGCTGAAAGCTCTGTACTATAAAGCAGAGAGGGTAGAAGGGATAATTTCCTTCATATTATAGAGGTGAAATTCAGAGTGTTAGTTATATTCACTCTATATCTTCTTCACATGATAAAACGTTTTAAAACAAAAACCCCTAAAATCCAAGTTGGAAAATGCAATAATGAAAGCACTAGCTCTAGAATACAAGAAGATGGTAAATTCAAAGACTCCTAGAACATTCAAGGTCAGCTTATCTCTCAGCTATCTCCAGGCATAAAAAAATGAACATATTTGCTATTTTGAAAAACTCCGTAATTCCATCCTTCACAAAGTGCTTTAGTTTGCTTAATTTTAGCTACTCCAAAGCTTCCTGCTACTTACTTCTTGATCATGGTTTATTCTTGGGGTCTGGGAAGACTAAGAAGGACAGGCTGATAAAAAATAAAATAAAACAGGATCAGGGACTCTGCCGTGGGGACCCTTGATTGAAGTAATTTTGTGTTAAAAAGAACCACAGATTCTTTCCTGGTTCTGTCAAAGAAAGAACCCACCTAAGAAAGCAAACATTTTAATGCAGATCCATGGAGCTGATAAGAAAGAGTAAGGAGGGATCAGAAAATATCTTACCAGAAGAGGAGAGGGGTGCTAACATGTTGGGAAGGCAATTTGGGTCTTAAACATTCTTGGCGTTTTTCCTGGCATGTGGAGCCTAGAGTTTGAGGCTGGAGAGGAAGGTACAAGGAATGGGTGGGAAAAGGAAGAAGGAATGTTGTAGCTTGGAGGCTTTGTGTATCTCTGGAACCACATGCCTCTTACTCCTTCCCATGACTTTTCTGTGCTCTAGAGAAGAATTTTAATCTCTTTACCATCTGAAGAGTTGAAAGGAGCTTCAGGGCATCTAGTCCAGTCTTCCCATTGTAAGAAGTAATTGTCTTTGTGGCGTTCCCAAAAAATGGTCATTCAGCCTTCACTGGAAGGCTGTTTCCTAGCACTGAAATGATCCTGGTTTTGTTGACTAGTTAAAACGAAAGTGGCCTATTTGAGATGCTGTTGCTATTTTCTTTCCTGGGCTCTTGGCTGTATATATCTCCTAGATATAAATGAGATCTGGGTGTGTTTTCCCCAAACACTCTTATTCATGGGATGGTCCTTTCTGTTTAACAGTGGGTCAGTTTTCTAATTGTTTGACAGGGAATGCCCGTTTTTGTGATCATATTGTCTTCCGATAATTTTTTTCAGTTTTTGATACTCTACCTGGATAGGAGGGAGATCTCTGGAAGCCTTTTTACAAAAATGTTTGGACTTAGAAAATATTTTCCAACCTGTCTAGTATTTCACTGTGATTGAACACTGGTACATCTGACAACAAGTACAGCACTAGACAGCCACATTTTCATTTTTATTCATATTTCACTGGTTTACTGCCTGCTTTCTTCTAGAGCCTGAGCTTGTGGTTATGTCCCAGAATGAATGGGACCGAAACCAAGAGAGGAAAAAAAAACCCCTGAAACATTGAGGTTAAATGAAGTGCCTAAGGTCACACAGTGAGTCAATAGCAGAGTCAGAATTTGAATTGCATTGTTTTGACTCCCAGATGAGTGAAGATGAGTGAGTTAACTGACTCACCCATATGTGATGACTGACTGGATTGGAAATTAGCCCAAAGTAAAAATAACATTGTATGTGGCACTTTGCAGTTTACAAAGCACTTTCAAATTCATTAACTCCTATGATCCCAACAACAGGGAGTAGCTTGGTCAGGTACTGTTGTGTCCATTTGACAGAAAACCAGTCCTGAGATGTAGTAATTTATTAGCCCAGGATGACTCAAATAACAAGGAGCAAAGCTGGGACTGGGGCCCAGGTCTTTTTACTCCTGATTTAGTAAACAAGGAACCTCCATTACTCAATACCCAATCAGAATATGATAACTACTACTGCATCAATAAAAGAAATCTAAAAAATGAAGTGGAGAGTTGGAATGCTTGGCAGTAAGGGAAGATCTTGAAATAACATCTCAGCAACTTGGCAGCAAAATGGCACAGTAGCTAGAGTGCTGGTTCTAGAGTCAGGAAGACCTGAGTTCAAATCTGGCCTCAGACACCTACTAGCTATGTGACTTTGGGCAAATCACTTAACCTCTACCTGTTTGCCTTGGCGGTTGTAAGGATCAAATTGGTCAATGTTTCTTAAACAATGAGTGCCTGACACCTAGTAGTTAATAGACAGTAAATATCCATTAAGCACTTACTTTATGCCATGCACTGGGCTAAGCACTGAGAATACAAAAGGGGGCAAAAGACAGTTTCTGCCCTCAAAGAGCTCACTTAGTAGTAACTCTGGTAGTAGATACCATGTAAAGGCTGTTATCATTATTGTCGTCATCATTGGTGTGTAGCCTATATAGGCTATGATTTAGCTTAGCTAGCATTTATAGAGTGCTATAAGGTTTGCATAGCATTTTATTTGTTACTATATTCGATCCCCCAACAGCCCTCTGAGGTAAGTGCTGTTATTATTCCCATTTTGCTGATAAATAACTGAAGGGAAGGGCTGTAGGACAATGTGTGTAAAATTAAGAATAAACAGTTTAAATAATGTAATGGGGAATAATACCTTGGCAAAAATTCTACCATTAAGTAGTAAAAATATGGCAGTAGTGATAGGCCACCTGACTGAGATACAAAAAATGGGTTAGTCATGTTAAAGTTGTTCTGATTGGTTAAATGAGCACTTCCTAGGACAGAGAATTTTAGAGCCAATGAAGAAGAGGAGGCTACTGGATGAGTTCTGAGTTGTGAACCGAATGTATAGGATGTTATCGGGGAGCCCCATCGTTGTCAAAAAGCCACCATGTGATTATGATCACTTACACTTTCATACCAAGATCTGTGACAAAATTGGTGTGGCTGTTCCCTCAGCAGATGTTGATCAATGACTCTCCTTACCTTGGAGAAGATAGTTTCATAAGTTGTCTCCAAAA